ACCAATCCCTGCAGGAATCAACGCAAAAGAAACCATATTACTTCTTCTATTATGATGAAAAGAAGAAGATTCACATACCACTTCCGGAACCCACACAAATCAAACCGAGGTATAGACATTCGGTTCGAGTAGACTGGAACCCGCCAACCGCAAAACGACGAGTTGGCCAAGGTAACACTTAAACACGCGTGTTGGTACATGTGTGTGTGTGTGTTTGCGTACCATGTGTATGTGATTATGGGTGCGTGTGTTTATTAGTTTAAAAAGTCGTGTTACTAATCCTCAAGGACCCAAAAGATCAAACGGGTACCAAAATGTTTTCATTGTAGGTGTTAAAGCCAGGGGGAACAAAAGAAATCGATTTCAAGTTCCCAGGACTGAGTGTAAATCGATTTACAACCTTGAGATAATCGATTATCACTGTCCGCAGAAGTTTGGAGCAAATCCATCGCAAAACCTCAACAATCGATTTTCCAAGTCATGATAATCGATTATATGGAGCTGCAGAACTTTATTTGAAGTCAGGCGCAAACCAGCAACAATCGATTATCAACTATAAGATAATCGATTATTTAAGCCTGCAGAAGTTAAAGGCAACTCAGGCGCAAACTACAACAATCGATTTACAACCAGGCAGAAATCGATTATTAAAGCCTGCAGTTTCTTTGGCGGAGAATCTGAAGACTCAGATAATCGATTTACACGGAGTGTAAATCGATTATCAACGACGATTTTTCAAAAATCTGACCGTTGCAGAGACGTTGGAGGAGCATTTAAACCTTGTTTGACCATTCCAACGGATCTCTACACCTCTTCCACTATATATTGGTGATATATACTTCATTTTTATTCATTCCAATCATCTTCTCTCCATATATTCATCATAATTCATCATTCTTGCTCCTATTCTTCATTTTCTTTAAGGGAGGTTGTTCCCTTGTTGTAAACTCGAAGGAAATTACTTGTTCCTTTGTGAGAAGTCTTGGAGTGCGGTATCTCCGAGCAAAAGTGTTGAGGCTCGTGTGACTCGGGTTCTCAAGTTGTATCGGTTTATTAAGCACCCTTAAGCTTAACGGAGTTAGTGTAGCTCAAGAGAGTCTCTCGGGGGGCTGGACTAGCCACACGTTGTGGTGAACCAGGATAAAACTCGGTGTGCTCCTTCCTTACGCTCTTTACTTTAATGCACTCGTTTTTAATTTCCTGTGATTTTATTTCAAACGCTATTCACCCCCCCTCTAGCGTTGGGCCTTTATTCTAACATATTTGTCCTAGCATTGGACATGCTCTTACCTATTTCTAGTATTCTTGTTTGGATCCCTTTAATAAATACTCTGCACTAACTTAAATACACATTAAAAATGATGCCAATAACATGTGCTTGGATATTTTGACAAACGTGGTCTAGTAAAACTTGTCTCTAAAATCTAGATAAAATAATTCAACATTTGCTCTCCCTAGTCATCATAGATAACATTTTCAAGTAAATTTTCGTGGATTTATTGTTAAAAACAGATCACCTCATCATCATACTCTTCCATAGGGAAGCATCTAGATTTCCGTGTCAAAGAGATGAATTGTCACATTTGAAATCATTCTTCGAGCAAATGGGATATAACTTGAAGTATACCTGAAAGAAGAGCACACCCTTTACATCGAAATGTGGAACAATGAAGCCCGAATTGAACATCTGAAGTATACTCCCACCATTTTTAAATTGCTCTGTTATGGGTAATTTGTGGATAGAACATGGTTCTTCATTATGGTTATAAATTGACACACATAACACTATTGATTACTAAAACAGGAAAAACTAAAATAAATATGGAAGGGCAACATAGTTATTTTACAATGTATTAACTTACGGAGAATTAGTTTTCTAAATGTTTTCTATTTTTGAAGAAAATGGCTTTAGTTAATGGGCAACTACTTTAGAATGGAAGGGGTACAACTTTAGATAGACTACTTATCGGCCAAGACAGCGTCACCAGTATACAACTTCAAACTTTAAAGGAGAAGGGAGACAGTCATAGAAAGTCATAGAGCTTCTAGTCTACTCCATTACTCCGTATATAGTAAAATTGGCATGGTTGTATGAGCAGCAAGCAAATAGAATTTATCTTCACATACATTTCAGTTTTCTACTTTTGAAACACAAAACTCAAAATGATCTATTCGGTTTATTTCTTGCACCCAGTAAAAAGTGGCATACACAAAAACATTTTATTTTTAATAAGGTACATCTATTTAAAATCATACATTATACTTCAATACTTCATAGCCAATTTTTAAAATCATCCTTTTGTTTTGAATCGGGGTCTCTTGGAAACAACCTCTCTACTTCCCACATAGAGATAAGGTCTACATACACTCGCTCACCCTCCAATTAACCCACTCTCGCAATATATGTGATATTATCGGGACAGTTGTATTTGTTGGCTTAACAAAATTGAGTATATTTAACTTGGTTGGCATACTTTTTAAACATAAAAAGCATTAAAGAGGACTCTTTTTTTGGAACACCGGAGTGGATGCTGGTGTTAACATTTGAAGTAATGATCTCGTGCAGAAGTAATACTGTAATGCATGCCTTCCATTACATGATTACACTATTTGCTATTGATACAAAAGAAGCTAGGGAGTTATATTTATTTAGTTGTATATTTTTGTATACTCCCCTCTTCCACACTCCCAAAAAAAAACTACTCTTTCCCTTTTAAAGTAAAGAATATGTGGCTAAAAAATTTCTCTCCTCTTGACCACTTCTATCCTCCATTTTTACTTTTCAACGCTTTAATTAAACTCTGTAAAGTAAAATAGAGCAGTGCAAACAAGAATCGGCCTGTCCGGTCCCGCCCAGCCTGCCCTCCCAAATGGGCAGATATGGGCAACAATAATTACCTTTATGGCTATATGGGCGGGTCAGGCCGAGCCCAATTTTTATTTGGGCATATATAAGAATTAGGATTGGCCCGTTGTATCAAAAAAAGATTGGCCTGTTAGGGCTGGCATGCCCTCCCATTTTTAAAAAAATATATTAATATAATATAAGATTATTTGTCTTTGTAATGTGATGTCAATTAGAACCTATTAATGTGTGTGTGTGTGTTAGGATGGAGGGTATAATTGAGATTTGGGGTCATGCCAATTCAAAGTGAATGCATTTACATACTGTTTTTTAGTATCTAACCTTTAAATTATGTTTTTATCATAAAGAAGTAGCATTTGGTTGGGTAGCATACTAGTTTCTTATTGTTCATCTTTAGTAGCATCATGTCTTATCATATTACTCTGTATTTAGTAATGAATATAATGCCACAAAAAACACAGGTCACATAGCAAATTCGTTGTTTAAATAATAAAAACAATAGAACATCAAGAACTTACCAGATAAGGGCAAAGACCTCGCATATGATTGCAAGTACCGTCAAAATTTTGTTGTGGATCTTGAAAAATAGATTAAAAAGAAGTAAAAATGATATACATTAATGTAAACAAAGAAGAGGTAGAAAAACATAAAAGATGAAGGGGAAACCATCTCATAGGAATTCGGATACAAACAGACCCAAAAGTAGTTGCAACTCTAAGTACTCATAAGACATGAGAGATTTGAAAGGAAAAGCTTGTAAGACACTTCGTTTTTGTACTTAGTAATATTTTTAAGTTCTATAAACTTCTATATGAAAGGAAGAAAAAACTCTCGAAAATGAGTTAAGATAATTAAGATGCTTCATATATTACTAATGTTATATGTATGTATGTACATTATATATACATATACATACATACATACACATATATATATGTATATATATAGACACACCCCCCCTACATGGACTAAATCAAAATGGTACATTAAACTTCCATTGCCTTGTACTTGCTATAAAGTTTTGGGAAGAAATTGCAGCAATGCATGAAGAGTCTGACAGAAAGAGCCTCTATTTTAACCAGGTATGTTTGTTTAAATATTAACCCCTAAGAATCCAACACACTTCAGATTATATTGGGCTTGTTGTTTGTATACGTCCTTTGCCCCATAATTATTCACAAAGTCAAATTATATCTTCTTTTCTTATACTTCATTGATCATTTGTTAAAGTAAAATAGTCATGTCACCCCTTGTGTTAGAGAAAATTACCAAAAAGAGGACCTAAACATAGGAGATTAACAAGAATAGGACCATTTTTTATATTTACCCCACTAGGACTTATACAATCCTATCTTGGTGCATCCCATTTTTCCAAGGACATTTTTACCCGCTTAACTCTCCCTTCCCGTTTCTTATTTTTTCTTTCCTCTTTCTTTCTTCCTTTTTTCCTTCATTTTTCCTTTCCCTGTTTCTTCTTTCTCTTCCTTTCCTCTTCTTCTTCTTTCTCCCTTTTTTCTTCATTTTTCCTATCACCATTTCTTCTTTGTTTCCTCTTCTCCTTCTCTCTCTCTTTCTTTTTCTTCTTTTTTCATTCTCCTGCTTCTGCTATTTTTTCTTCCATGATTCTTTTCTTAGACATTTTTATTCTTTCCCTGCCGTCATCTCCTATCCGCCGCTGCCATCTCCCTGTGCCATCGTCACCTCTGGTCACTACCCTCCTCCTATTGATATACACCGACTTAAAATGCTTATTGCATTGTGACACATTTAGTATAAATTACATACTGACCACAATGCTTACTACAGCACTAAATGAATATATACTGCATTCTTGTGACTAATTTGTAAACATTAGAACAATTGATGATGTTACGGCCTTCTACTGACCATTGCTATTGCGCATGGGAACACTTCCATTGCGAACTAGTGTTTAGTGCACTAAATTTAATCTATAAACTGCATACAGACCACAATGCTTATTACTTCCCTATATAAATACATATTACATTTTTGTGATTGATTTAGAAACATTAGAACTGTTGATGCTGTTACGGGCGTTACGGCCTCTTACCGATCATTGCTACTGCACATTGGAACACATTCATTCCTGACTCGTGTTAACTGCACAAAAATCAATTTATAAACTGCATACTGACCCTCCATTATCCATCCTGATGCAACATCCGCCAGAACCGAAGATGGCATTGCTGCGGAGAAAAATGAAAAAGAAGAAAAAAAAGGAGATGAAATGCATTTGAGAGGGAAGAAGGTGGGGTCATAGATCTGTGGTATTAGGGTGAAGCAGCGATGGCGGCGGTGATAAGGGAGGATGTGGCACCGACTGTTGGGATTTGGGAGGAGATATCAGCGGTAGTGTGGATCCGATGAAGAGTATAATAGGAGTGGAGGAAGAGAAGGAAGTTAGCCACAGTCGGTGATTCAATGTGGAGGGGCGGCATCTGCACGGTGGCCTTGGGGAGGAGGGCAGTGGTTGAGAAGAAGAGGAAAGCAGAAAATAAAGGGAAAAAAGGAAGAGAGGAAGAAGCTGTACGAAAGAAGGAAGAAAAGAAGTAAGAGGGCTGGGGCAACTTGGGCATTTCCTATATGTTTTAGTCCCATGGAAAAAATCAGTCTTATTTATGTAAACGTAGAATGTTTTAGTCCTATCCATGTCATTTTCTCCTTATTTTATGGAACTTTTGGTATAGTTTTTTTTAAGTATATAAAGTTTATTTTAAAATTTTGCACTAAGCCGCTAAGAATTAAGAGATTTGAATTAAACATCGAAGGGAGTATAGTTTAACAACAATATAGTTGTGATACGTGATGACAATAGTAAAATTGGAGAGAATCAATGGTCATGATGAGAAATGACGATGGCCGCGGGGTGGTGAAAAAGGTGATGGGTGGTGGCAGTGGGGAAATTGGTAGGGTAGCAATTGCAGTGGTGGACTTATGACTCTATTAATGGTGACGACCAAGGCAATGGTGACTAAAGATAACAGTGACATAGTTGTAACAACCAAGGCAATGGTAGGGTGGCGACGACGGTCGCGATGGCAGTTTGCACACACACATGAAAGTGACTTCATATTCCATGAAGTGTGCGTGTGTGTGTATGCGTGCATGCAAGCACACACATACCGGCATGCACTACACAAATACATGTACTCCCTCCATCCGAATTTAGTTTATACTTGATCCATTCTATAATAGCGGTTTCATTTTGGTTTATGATGCTTGACAAAAGATATTTGCAATTCAATTTACCTAAGTATTGGTTTACAATTTAAAAAAAATAAAAACACCAAAAGCTCTACAAAACAAAACAAAATGATATGATTTGACCATGAGTGTACCGTATTAGGGGATAGAGGGAGTATCAAATAAATCATTTGACTGAATTTGCTATTCATTAGTGTCAACAATGCTACCTAGAAGGTATTTTAGATAAGTTATTATAATTTGTTTTCAAAATAACAAAAGTAGACAAAAACACAAATGTAGAAAATTACATCTGGTCAAAGGGAGTAGAATATATACAATAACAGGATAGAGTATGCGATTCACAGAAGCACAATACTTACCCAAAGTGCACATATAAGGGCCAAGGCTACACACCCTATATAGAGTGATGTTGCAACAACACGACCAGGATCAAGCATCACTGTCATTTGATGCCGAGGTCCAATCAGAAAGGCTGTGCTGCCATTAGATGGAGAAACCATAGAGAGTTGCAAGTAAAACAATTTCTATAACATACCAAATATCAAGTTAGAAATGCTTCTGTTAAGGAAGTGGAGTAATCATAATCACACTATCTTGGGATAAAAAGGAGGGCCCTTCAAAAATTAGCAGGACACAAGTGTATTAAAAATCAGTCCAAGGAGTTGCCTAGGTCGCACCTGCTAGGAAACCTGAGGACAAAAGGACAACTACGAAAATGGTCTTCTTTGATGCTAGGCTGAGTAGGGCATTAGGCACTCTTAGCCTCTTAGAGTACTAGACATAAGTGACACACAATAATAATCTACTTTTTTTAAAGCAGTGCCTTAATTGATTAGGTAGTTGTCTTAACTAAACATAAGACGAAATATGGTCGCATAACAGCAATCACGAGTATTGTTTTTAGGGAGTATTTGGTACGAGAAACTTGAGGGAGGGATTGGGGATTGTAATCCCAAATGAATAGTCTCTTATTTGTTATGTGGGAATGGGAGTAAAATGAGAGGCGGGGAATAGAGAGGCCTTATTTGTCCAGCAGTATAGTAGTGAGATAAAATGTAATAGTTAAGGTGACATTTTATGAAGCTCTGGCTTCCAACATTTAAGTGAATCTAATGAAAGACTATCAAACCAATTTCAGCTTAGAAGTGCTTTACATAAATGTAGGTCTATAAAAAAATGTGTGGACCTTAGGTCCACAATTGCATTTACCTGTATGATAAATAAGTAAAATAACAGCAAAATCACCAAGGCTATAATACATTATTGTACAATCTGTGATTTTAAGAGTTAAAAAGAAATTTTGAATAGCAGGAAAACACTCATTGGTATGAAGAGTTACTCTTTAAATTCTCACTTCCTTTTACAGAAAAATAAGTAATCTTGAGTTGGATTTTCTTTAAGGTAATCAAGATAAAACATACCTTCCAACTGCCAACAGGTTGCCAAACGTGAACAGAAGACCAAACTTGATGGGTTTTGCGAAAACAATAAAACACTGAAAATCGTAATGACTAAATAGTAATTAGGAACCAAAAGCAATAATTCCAGTTTGGTTAATAAACTTCGGAAATTCTTTACCTACTCTGGGAATAATAAAAAAGACAAGAGAACTAAGAGCCACTAGGAACCAATTTCATCATCCCTAACACAGTTTCCAATATTTGAAAAACAAAAAGAGCGTAATGGGTTATTACCAAGAACATACAAACTACGCCAGAGACCATACAAGCAGCGAACCCATATACTCTCTGCAAACCAAAACCCAAACAGAAAAAAATGGGGGTTTCCAGTAAGGATTAAATCTTTTAACAGGAAAGAGGGAATCGACAAGCTCAAGTGTTGAATGGCTACCTGCAGAGGAGATATAGCGCAGAGACCTTCTTCATCGTCCAAAATGTTATCTTGCTGATCTTCATCTCCCCCCAAAATGGATTTCCACATTGATGTCTTCTTTGCTCGATCCCAGATGCCTTCTTGGTATCACTGTCTAGCGGGGGCTTCAAACTTCACCAATTCACATTTGAAGGCCACTGCTTCTATTTCAAACTTTCATTTTTTTCATTTTAAATACATATTTTCTAAAATTAAATTAATAAATTTTAATTATTTAATTTTATTCATTAAAAAAACTACATTCATGAACAAAAAATACATTCATTAATTTAAAAAAATTACATTCGTTCAATAAAAAAATTACATTTATTAACTAAAAAAATTACATTCATTAAATAAAAAAATTACATTCATTAATAAAAATTTATATTCATTGAATAAAAAAAAAGTACACGGTGCGATAAAGGAAAAGGGGGCGGGGGAGGGGGCTCCAACGGCCAAATTTTGGACTATAATTTGCATCAAATAAATAGACGCTGCAGAAATAGCGCTGCTATAACGGGAAAGGGGAGCAGTGTTTAACGCCCCCCACGCGAAGTGGTATTACCACTGTGCTGAGTACGTGTGCACCCAAGAGTGCACTTACAAAAATGTCATTCAACTATTATATTTTGTCAAAAATACCTATTTTATTTTGTTACTAAACTGCCACTAAATTTTTTTTATTAATTGTCAAAAATACCACTATCTTTCCTTTTAACCTGCTTGTGCAAGTTAAAAAAAATAAATTAATAACTAGCATTAAACTAATTTTTTCAAAAGTATTACTTTTTTATTTCTATATATGAGAAATTTTTTATTGATATACTACCTCCGTCCTAGTATATTTATCTATATTTTTAAAGTACTTTTTATTCACTCAAATAGATTTTTTGTGAGCAGGATGTGGTGATATTATAATCCTACTTTTATGTAAAATCGTCATTTGTTAAACTTTTATGTTGCTCTAGAAAATAAACTTTTGTTTACATTTTTAGGTCTATTCTAATCTCATCCAATAAAGTGACCGAACATTACCAACGATTTATATGCAGTTGAAGTATAGTGACCTATCACATTACCCATAATTATGTATTGTTTTTTATCATTATGTATATCCTCAGATAATATTTTCACCGTGCATCGCATGGATTAGAATCTAGTCACACGCAAAAATATGCAACACATGTATTTCGTTGACTAGTTTGTACCGCGCCCAAACATAGTTTTTACCAAAGGGGTCAGTGCACCTAAATAATTAATTCAACGAGGCGAAATTGAAGATATGATCTCAAGGTCCGTTTGGTGAGTTTTGGAGGAATGATAATATATGAGAGAAATTATTTGTTTTGAAATCTAAAACGAATTTGTTCGGAGAGATTTAGAATCATGATTTAATTAGTAATAAGCGAAGGTGACCGATAACGAGGGTGGTTGGTGGTGAAAATGGTAGCCAGTGACAGAGAATGATCAATGATTGAAAGACATATCAAACACCCATATTGATATCTCCCAAGTTAGAGAGATATCGAAATCTTCCATTTGAAGAATTTATGATATCTGAAGAAACTGAATTCGATATCTTTTTTAGCTTCACCAAACACCTAAAATGAATTTTGATATTTGGAAATATCAAAATTCAAAATCCATATCTTATTTGCTCAGCAAACACATCCTCAAACTTCTAGTGAATTTCTACTGTCTTAATTGTTGCTTTAGTACTTAATTCTTCAAAGCGTTTTTTTATAACAGTTCATCCCTTGCCCACACGAATAGCTTCTAAAACTTTTTGAAAACCTGTTTGATAAAAAAATCTTAGTATTCTCGAAAATCAATTTTTTAAGGATATTAAATTCCCAAAACTTTGAAACATAAAAACTTCAAAAATATATTTGAAACATGAATTTATTTAAAATATCTAACAGTTTAAGTAAAACTGGTTTTTAAAAAAAAGTAATACCTTTTTGTTTAATACAAATCAGAACATAACTTCAAGAATCATATTTCAACAATTTTATAATTTTATTTCAAATGAAATTTATAAAAATAAAAAAACTATGAAGAAAGTAGTAACAAATTAGCTAATCAAACGAAAAAGATACCCCCTCCAAATAAACTTTCTTCCTATTTTTAGGTTTTACTCATATCTCCCGTTTTCCAAAACACTTTACTACGCATTGTACATTCCCATCTCATTTTCTATTCTGCTAAACACTTTTTTCGTTCACCTTTAAAACTGTAAAAGTCAAATGCAGAAATTTATTCAAGACGGGAGGGAGTATTTGTTTAGGAACTAATATTAATATTTCAAACACAAAGTAAAGGACTGGAAGAAGGGATGATAGTGAAAGCTATAATCACTCAGACAACTCTTTTAATAGAGCTACCTAGCCATAACAAATCACTCAGACAACTCTTTCACTGGAAGATAATGAAACAAACATCCTAATTAGTCTATGATTGGTTACTTGGGAATTTGAACCATGGTAGACAAAATTCTGACATTTTTGTAAATAATTTAAGAAAATAGCACTAAAATGTTAATTGGATCTCTTAATCCAAATTTGATCCGATCTGAATCGAATGTTGATCTAATCTAATACAATTGGATCCGAATTTGGATTTGACTTGAGAGATTGATATAAATCCGCGACCTATTCATTCATAGAAAAAAGAAATTCACAAAAAACTTAAATCCTTGACTTCACCATCCAGGTATAGACAAAATATGCCTCATGCATGTCATGTGCACTGGGGAACAGGCTTTATACAGTGCTACCACAACACAATACAAACTTTCCCCAGCCTCATGCACCAAATGGAATTAATGCCTAAGCTGAAGAAAAACTGCAAGATAACATCATGAGACATGGTGCCTTTGGTTTCTGAAAAGTAAAAAGTAGATAGTAGGACAGAGTAACATAACTAGATTTAGTTGTTACCAAATTGTCAAACCATTCAGGCTATTAAATGACCTCCTCACCTCTAAATCAAACCCTGCCGTTGCAGATCTGTGTATGTCTTTTTGTTATAGATGTTTCCTTCTTGGTCTTCATACTCTTCCTCAAGATCCGGGCGCCATTTGTTAACTCCTTGCTTCTCCTGGATTCTCTCCCATAGTTGTTTTGCTTCCTGCATTAAACGTATATTTTTATATGAGAAGCTACAATATTTGGCTGCTAGAGATATATCATCGGGAAGAAGGGGGGGGGCTAAAGTGTTCACTAGCTGCTCAACGGGTCGTGAAGGAATCCCCTGATTTGGGCGTGTTATGCCTAAGGGACAGAATAGAAAAAGATACCTCAATAGATGTAATCTCGTTGAAGTTCTTTGTATTTGGGATGCCAAGGCATCGCATTCCATGTTGATGCCTCCATTCCTTGAAATGTCGTTCGTAAGCTCTACGACCCCAGTAACTGTGGTTCCCACAGATCTCACACTTGAATTCCTAAAAGGCAAAATAAAAAAACACTATTAAGAGCACAAAAAACAAGCATTCAAATGAAATAGTAAACAGTGGGGAGGACCATTCTGGGACACATGTACATGGCTGGTTAACATGGAGGGAAAATAATTTGAGTAAGAGCTAGTAATCAGGTAAAGACCGGAGCACCCAACTTGCTACTACTTAGGCTGCATAGCATTTGTCTCCAAATGAAACCCTTTATGCTAGACATAAACTAGGCTATTTTATTTGGCATTCAAAGATAGTCCTGCCCTAATGTGTTATCATCCAATAGTTAATACGTAGTACTATACTAGCTTTTGAGGTAACCCTGGTAATTGAAATGAGAAGCAACCATGCTGACTCTAGGATACCAAAAACATTACCCCAATGCCTCAAAGGTTCCCGCCAATTGCGGGGTAGGGGGGGTCAGATGTACGCAACATGACCCCAATGTTTAAAACATAGAGCAGCTGTTTCTAGATGAACTATGATGAGCATCGAAAGTTGCATTGACTAACAACTATTTCACTATTAAAAGAAATACAAATAGTTTAAAAGCCATTTTACATTACTCCATCATGCCCCAACGCCAAAAAATAGTGCATCTTTGGCTCCACCGGAGATTATCGAACATGCTGACTATAAGATAGAAAGTGAAAATTTAGGAATTTATGATGTTACCTGACCAAGCCCATGAAGTTTATATAACCAGTAAGGGATAGGTTTACCGTCCCATCCCATCGGCAACTTCAAGGGGTTATAAATTTGCTGATCTTCATCATCGCTCTCTAACTCTGCTTGTTCTTCTTCCTAACAGAAATCGACAGCAAATTGATGATGCACTTTAAAAAAAACTAAGAGTAAACAAATTACTTGTGCATGTTTCTCAATGAAATGCCATTTTAAACGCATGATCTATGCTATGCAGAGCATAGCACTGATCAAGCAAGCTATAAACCATCCTACTTTGTATTGCAAAATAAAAATAATGACAACAATGGATTAAAAAATGATGTGTAATCACTAATCATATGCTCCCTCCGTCCAAAAGAAAAATAAAAATAGAAAACATACTTTTGTCTCAACAAGTCTTATTTGAACAAAAGAATCTAATATTTAATGAATGTTTTCCTGAAAAGAGTGTCCCAAACAAGATAAGTATTTTAAATTTAGTAAGACAGATACTATTAGAATTGATAATTTCAAATTGTATCTTTCTTAAATTGAAAATTCTACTTTGGTGAAACATGACTCTTTTTTTGGATAGAGACAGTAGCCGTTTTGAAATCCATAGTTTGTACTCCTGCACGATTCCATTTATAATTTCCCAACAGCAGGGCAATCTATAAGTCTATTGCCAGCGGAGCTAAAAGTCATTTTCACAAAGTTTTAGCTTCAGGTAAAAATGGACTGATCAAAAGTGTTCATTCAATGTCCCCTGCTTCTTAATTTCTATGAAGTTTTGGGAAGTAAATGCATCAATGTGTCATGGTTCCAACAGAAACAACCTCTCCGCTGTGTTTTTACTGGGGTGAGGTGCTTTATGAATACATTGTTGGTATTGTTGCTAACAGCAGGGTAATCTAGGAGTTACCTCTTCCCGTTCTGCCTCCCTTTCCCCATAAGTCTGAGCCTGTTTCTTCTCAACATTTTCCTTGGTAAGAACTATTGTCTGCAGGGCAAGTAATGCCAGTTCATTGGGTTAATGCTTTTAGAAGTATAACACTATAAAAGTGCCACATAGCAGTCCTACAACAGCAGTTTGTCCTGCAAGATAAACATTTATGGCAAACATACCTCCTCCATTAGATCACACAGCTTTCTTAATTTTGCTTCCATAAATGCAACATCTTTTGCATCTCTGTTCACTTGTGGAAGAGCAATACCACCATTCTGCCTTGAACCTTGAGTGCCTTTTGCAAAATGGTTCTTGTCCAAGTTTTCAAGAGGTGTATGCTGCAAGCAGAACTCTCTGAGGTGAGTGTGTGTAATAAACTTATCGACTCATCAAAACAATAGAGAGGAATGCATATAAACCTATACTTGTGAAAATAACAGAATCCCAAGTCAATATAATTATATTAAGAGCCGCAATTTCTAGCACACTAACCTTTGTAAGAAAAAGTCTTTCGGCACGCTGCTGGATGGTACCTCCTGACTTCAATCCTAGAGCAGCTAGTGCCTGCCACAAAATAAGAGGTGAATATATGGTGCTTGAACAAGTATCAAGATGGAATACATATATGAGAAAAAAAAGCATGCCTCCTTTAGCTTATCAGGGCCAACTTCCTTCAATTCTTCAACCGTATTATAATAGTCAAGATCAATCACAGTATGATCCATTGGAGCACTACCATTTTCCTGATAATCATTCCCCCATCCTTCGAATTTGCCATTTGTCCACTGCTCTTCGAATTCACCAACTAGCTACAATAACAGAAGGCCAGAAGACTTCAAAAATTAACCAAAATTCATAGCATACTTGAACTTGTTTCGATAAGAGAGCATACTAATACAAATTGATAGCATACTTGAATTTGTTTTGATAAGATATCATACTTAAATACTTGATAATACAATATGATTCCTAGCCCCTAAGAGTTGTGGAGTACTACAAGAATCCTTTACTACGCTAAATGATAATGAAATTTTGGAAAAATAACTTCAAGGGATGTTATGGGCAACAATGATCTATCAAGTTGGAACTGTGGTGTATGTTTTTGGTTGCTAGCTTGCCACAACAACGACAAACCCAGTAAAATCCAACAGCCAGGTGTTTGTGGAGGGTGTGTATACGTAGATCTTGCCCCTGCGTATGCCACAAGAAACCATTCTTACCATTGTCAATATATCTGTCTATCGCAGTCTAACGATAGCAAACTGCAGTTCTCATAGAGACTAAGACTGAGCACTGTGTAGAATTTAATGAGAAACTGCACTTGAATGTTTCATTACACATAAACATGATATTTATAATAGCTACTCCACTAACCTAATAACAAGCCTGACAACATTGAGCCCATTAAGTAACCCTAATTACATCTATTAACACTACCCCTAAAATTGAAACGTGACTCACATTAGTGGAGCACAAATGCACAACTTGGGCAATAAAAATAGACTAGAAAACAACACAAACCTTGATAAATAGTTCAGACTAAACTATATTTGTTGCGGCAAAAACGGACGGACGTGACAGGCCAAGCAAACAGACAACAAAAAAATTGTTGACAAATGACTCGCACACGGGTGACAAGAGGACGACTAACAAGTGTCCGCCGGACACTTATTATACTGTCCGCCAGAGGTGCGACTAAACTCACAAACTAAAATGCCGAACATACAGTTGGTTGCGACCGAACAAACAGAAACAAGTCAAACAACCAAATACTATGTCATCAAAAACTTCAAAAATGTGGATGGACGGCAGACTGAACATGAAAACCTTCTCCCGCGGAAGTCCAAATAAAGCAAAACCAAATCAAGATTTGCGAGTGGATGAATAGTGACTTGGCATACCGACAGCCTGTCAAATAAATGCAGCCCAATAAACCTCAAGAGTCAAGACCATGACCAGTAATACACAAAGCAATGAATTCCGTAGTACCTAAATGCCGGCAAAAGTTTGTGATATGTGAAGCCAAGGGATGCAGTCTAAATAACAAGGGGTAGAACGATAGCGGGCTAGACAGAACCCGAACAGCAACGTGAACAAGGGAACAAATAGCCACATGGAGTAGCAACTCGAGACAGACACACGGACGTCTAGCCAAAGGACAGAGGTCAGCTTTGACGGTTCAATGACCGCAAAAGAAAAAAGGAATGAGCTGGCAAAGGGAACCAGACAGGGATCTGGAGAGCGGCTACACAGGAATCTGATTTCATTGGTTTATGGCAATTGGCGGCGACTTGGCAGAGCACATAATGCACCGAATTGGCTGAATAAATAGCAAGCACCGCCTGAACATATACGACTACGTCAATTGTGGCAGTGACACCAAACCTAAGAACGGGACGATGATTAGAACTTTGGCGGCATTTTGATGCAGCTCTACAGATGTCGCGTGCTGCTGGAAAAATCAGAACGCTTGAACAACTGGAGCGACTGAAAGATGGAGAGGGAA